AAGGCAAAATAAAATAGCGAAATAGGCTGGAAAAGGCACTAGAAATAGCGAAAAAGGAACTAAAAAAAGACAAAACNCAAAATAAAATAGCGAAATAGGCTGGAAAAGGCACTAGAAATAGCGAAAAAGGAACTAAAAAAAGACAAAACCTGAAAAATAACACTGTTTTACAGGAAAAATGTTCAACGGACGCCACTACATATCCAATTCCTTTTTTTATTCTATGGATAAGTATTCGAGATATTTTCAGGTGTACATGGCGTATGAGTAACGTTTGAAGTTTTTATATTATCAGGAATGAGGGCTTTCTCCTCGCTATAATCACTTTTTTAAAGGTACACTAGGCAAACAAAGGCAAACATCTTAAAAAAGGCAAAAAAAAGCAACATCAAATGTGTATATATGGAATCAAGGAAAGCTAAATCGTGGACAGTCTTAATCGACTATACTCTACTATCTCTTTAACAGAAACAAAGCCAATTTCCATAAACTCCGTTCCCTGGTCATAATATTATTACCTGCAACAACACGATCGCAATTTATTACACACTTTGTACGGTACAAAATTATGCATTCGCTGTCAATGCGTGATAGGCACAATATTTCCATGCGCTCCACTCAATCGCCAGTCTGCCGCAGAAATTACTCGTATACCAGAGACACGTGGGAAAGCGTCACTGCCATTTCACAGTTGACGCCGCAAAGCAGCGCAACTTCTATGCAAGCAAAAGCAAAAAAAAACTAAAAAGCGACGCTGCAGTCAACAGGAAGCGCTAGCGCAGCGCAACGCGGCATAGTGCGCACTTTCATTCATATGCAATTACATAGGCGCTTGTGGTGTCCAAGTGCTGCCCATAGTGATTTTGCGAGCGCTCAAGTGTGTGTGTTTGTGTGTGTACCTTTTCACATTCCCGTTCATGTCAAAGACTACGCTCGATTCGTCAGCAGCAATCGCTCAGGCAAGTGTTGCTTTGACCGGCTGTTTGCCAGGTTGGTTGGTGGTTAGCTATTTGACTGCCGCTTGACTAGTTGATTTGTGAGCGTCGCAGTCAAACGAGCAACCGCAAAATTTATGGCGCACAACGCAACTGAAGCGACACGGTACACCGCGGTGTGGCATTGCACACTGCGCTACCGTAGCCACCGACGAATGGAGGTCAAGGGAATTGCTACATTAATCATCAGGCGCTTGTTATGAGCACATTTTGCGCATTGGTGATAGCGTCGGCATAAAAACGCATTGGGAATACGCTCGTATACGACACAAAACACAGCCAAGTTGGCTTTGGCTTTGGCTAGTTGACTAACAAATTTACGAATGAATGGTGAACCAGGCTAGAACGTACAGGGCAATAGCGCCTCGGTTGACAACAATTTGCGGCACAATATATTGTATTTTGAACTCTGCTAACAGAACGATGTATTTCAAATGGCTTTCGTGGTGTTAGTGTTGTTGTAATACAGTCGCAGTGCAGACCCACAAGTGTCCTACAGAAGCCATATACATACTCACTTATCTTTATGCTATACTCACTCAGCAGTACGTTGCTTGGCCAATAATTTAAGCTATGTACATACATATTTATGTATTTGTAAGCAACAAGGTAGCAAAATGTAGAAATCAAAAAATAAAAATAAACAAGAAAATAAAACAGAATTTAAAAGACCTATAATCCGTCATGATTGCCAGTGATGTGCATTGAAGTGATACCCGCATCTAATATAGAATTTGAATAAGAGGCAAAAATGCTTTTGTGATTACCTAATTTTGGACGAAAGCAGCATCGCTTTATCGTTACCTTTGTAGCTAAATTCACCAACACATTTGTCGTTGCATTGTTGGTTGCGAATTTCGAATCAAATTTTGAAGTCAATTATTGTAGTGAAACTTAAACTCAAACTTTAAAAAATAATCCCCCATCAGTACAACTCCAGCTACGTATTCTACAGTATTTTTTCGCCTAACTTGTTTCCGCGCTGGTGGATGTATCGGGTGTAGTCTGAAGAAAAACACTCACTGGACCGCTCACAAAAATATGTCGCATTCCTTGTGACATCACCATATTGCAGACCGCTTTCCGTGTGGTGGCCTGGCCTTTAGGCATTTTCGTAGGGTAGTGCATCTCGAAAGTCAGTTAAGTATACGCTTCACGAGCAGGTAAGATGAACAAATAGGAACAGTCTGGGGGTTAGTCCCTCTAAAACTAAGCTATATAGATAGACAACTTACGAAGTCCAACACTCAATGACGCAAATTCTAAGTTGTCAGGTGGGGCCACGTTTTTGGGGGTTATTCTTGATTCTTAAGGTTCCGAAAGAACATAGAAGGATAACACTTAATTCGCTCTACTCCTGCTAGAGTAGAATTGGAATAGAATTAGGACTACGACCGCGAATAATACATTGAGCACACACAGTGGTAGTTGAACCCATCTTCACCTGTGACGCATTGGTATGGTGCGAGGCGATTTACAGCAAACTCTATCTAATTAACCTTCAAAGTGTTCCAGGATAAGCATGTCTATGTACAAAAGCAGCAATTCGCTCGTAACTCCAAGCAGCGTAGCCGAAAGCTTTCGCTGAAAAATCGTCGATTTATCCCAAAAAAAAAACGTCCATTCGGCCTAAAAACCTAAATTTTTTATTCATTCTACTGTTTTAGAAATGAAAAATAATCTAATATTCTAATGACAAATAAATATAAAAATATCGATAACCCTTTCGTAAACGATATCAATATATGAGGCGTTTATTTTGAAAGTGACATTAGTCACTGCCACCTCTTGTATTTAGTTGGTTGGTTATTTCTAGCTACATAAGATAACGCCAAACTTTTTACCTTTGGCTCATGAATTGAACGAATAACAGGCGCGTTCAGATATAGGTATGTGATCGCTGAAGTCAAACGGCATGAAATGGCTTATGCCCCTTTCAAAATTTTTATATACATACATACATATTCGTACATTTGCAAAAAAGTACAACACTGTTCATATCGATGAAATGCCTTTTCCTTTATGTCTTCTACATTTATATAATGTCAAAGAGACAATAAATTTGCAACATATGTTCATACTTACACATGTATGTTAATACATACAAACAGTTGTATATTAGAGTGGTCCAAAAAGACTTGTGCGAAAATTAAAGTCGGAATTTTAGTGCATTCATCCCACAGTACTATTGTTCTATAGCGAGAAAAATGTACCCTCTTTTTTAAAACAAACATATTTAGAGGTCGCCCAAAGCGCTCAAAACTTCCCAAGGAGAAAAAAGTATTTTTCGTAAAAGTGGTATAGATAGAATCTTTGAAAATCAATACTTTTAAATCGACAAATACTGTGTCTCTTCTGAAGACTCCAAGAAATAATATCAAATTGCTTATTTAAGCGTGTTTAAATATTCACGATTTCTTATAGGTCGCCCATTGCATTTTAGGGGATTTTTGGGGTACCCATAAAAAGTAGTTAATATCATTTCTATGAAAAATAGCTTTTTTCCATAAATTTATAAAAAAACAGGGCTATATTTTTTTTTATAGAACTATCCTAGGGGGTGAGAGCATTAAAGTTCCGACTTTACTGCCTTGCGACCGCCCTAATGTACATCCAAAATAGAAAATAAGAAAGACAGAGTAAGAATTTGGCTAACACGAAACACGAAAAGTTAAAAGCCAATTGACAATTTGATTAAAGCATAACAGGCGGTTGTGCGCGATTTCGCCGACCACCCGCTACGACTTAAAAGAAAGGCGACGCTGGCATGTGCGTGTGCGAATGTGGGAAGAAGCCGGTAAAAGCGCGCCAATTATTCAAACGTATACATACATACCTAAAACAAAATTGAAAATATCGAAATGGAATGAGGCGAATGAACGCTTAACCACAAAATATAATCACAACAAAACCGAAAATGCGGAATGGACTCACAGATGAATGCTTTTGTATCTACAAACGTAGGCGCATCTGTTGCGCGCCGAACTTAGCCGAGACACGAACCTAAGTATGCATAAGCAAATGTCGTACAGATGTGAGGCATTGATGACGTATAAATGTGACGTTGCGACTGACGCAGCTTGGCGCGCACAAGGCTGCTAGTGATGCCAGCGTCATCGTTGAAGCCAACGCCGATGGCGTTGTCGCTGCTTTCTACCGTTGATGAGCGCGCCACTTCTTGCTAGCGCCGCGATGTCACAGCGCAAGTGAAATGTGGCACCAGCAGCAGTCGTTAAAGATGTAGCAGTGACAGCTGCTCTATGCCTGGTGCAGTGTGTCTGTCGTGCGGCATGGCATACATTGGAAAAATATTTTCCGTGTCTTACACATTCGCGTTCAGGTTGCTTTTGACGGCACTTTGGTTTGGTCTTTTCACGCGTAATCGCATGTCAGCACTCGTTGCGGGGCGACGTACTTCATAAGCCATCAACATTTTAGAGCGTTTGCCTTTCGTGCGGCAACATTCACGCGTGTGGTGACATTAGTTAAAAACAATACAAAAAAGAAGACAAAAATAATGACCATAATACATACCAGCGGATCGCGAACATACGTAGTCTTGCTGTTGGCGCTCGTTAGGGCACGAGCCATAGTAGTCGCGCGAATTCGGTGTTGTGCGGACCTAAAGCGCTTCGCAAAATTATAAAAGACAGCAGACGCGCAGCCAATATATAAAAAGTAAACTCACGTGTGTTTGAAGAAAAAACAAAAAACAAATTACTTTAAAATTTTGCGTGGATTTCTCTAAAGGACAAGTGCTCCGTCGCCAACCGAGCAATGGCCACTCCCGAAGAGTTGGCGCGCCTTGTTGCCATACATCTGCGCGATCTGCAGGACACCGAACCGAATTGGACCGTCGCGCATTCCGATGTCGCAGGCCGCGGTGTTTTTGCAACGCGTGACATCGCCGCCGGCGAATTGCTATTCCGCGAATGTCCGCTCGTTGTCGGTCCTACCGCGCGCAAAGGTTCCATACTCAATACCTGCGTTTGTTGTCACAAGCTGCTGGCCGTCAAGGACTTCCTCTGCAAGCGCAACTGCATGCTGCCCGTTTGTGATGCGTGCGCCGATTCCGAGAAGCATCGCGCCGAGTGTGAGCACTTCCAGCGTTGGCAGCCGGTGGAGCTAAGCAAATTAGTGGATATGTGTGCTGATAAAAGCGTCGGTCCACCACTGGTAAATCCCTACGCGTTGCGTATACTCACAGCCGTGCGTGTGTTCTTCCTCAATCCCGAACAGCGCGCACTAGTCGACGCTATGCAAGCAAATGCTGAACGCGGCTATCGGCAGGAGATCATCAAAGCGGCGCAGAGTTTTCGCAAATTCCCAACTACAGATAAACCCTTCATGGACAATCTATTTCGCATTGTAGGCGTACTAAATACGAACGCCTTCGAGGCACCATGCCGTGTGGGTGAACACGAGACACTTTTGCGTGGTCTATTCCCGTTGACGGCGATCATGAATCATGAATGCACGCCCAATGCGAGTCACTACTTTGACAATGGACATTTGGCGGTAGTGCGTGCGGCGCGCCATATTCCCAAGGGTGCTGAGATCACAACCACATACACAAAGATATTGTGGAGTAATCCGACACGTGGCATTTTTCTAAAAATGACTAAAAATTTTGTGTGTGAATGTGTGCGTTGCAACGACAGTACGGTGAGTGAATAAAACCATATGCACATAAATATGTAAGTTGGTTTTGTCGTGGTCAAGGTATGCGCGACCTTACCTGGAAAAAAATTTCGTTGTTGCTGTTGTGTTTTTGCGGCGCTGACATTGGCAATGAGACTAATGAGATTTATTTGCGTGACTGCGGCAAACTGCAATAAAGGTACAAAGGTGTGCGTGTATGTGTGTGGTGCGGTGTGTTTTGAGTTGCAGTATAACAAATAAAACTTGCGCAAAACAGGCGAGAAATGTTGTAATGTGCATATGTAGGAGCAATGGAATTATTTTATTTAAATTAGTGAAAGTGAAATATGTAGGTACTTCTTATTAAATGTTGAGGACTTGGGATATGAATTAAAGCTACTTTACATAAAATGCCTTGGGAATCTCAGTATGTGCTGTCTAAATAAAAATTATGAGCCCTTAAAACTCTAACGAAATTGAAATCGATAACGCTAACTAATCGCTTGAGTCACATTTAAGTGTTTTTCTCTTGTTAAAACTAACTGAAGTAAAAATTGAGATAAGCTCCTTAGGAAACTTTCGTTTTTAGGTTTCTCTTGGCCAGAAGTATGTTGATTTTCGTATATTCCCATAAATAGCATGCGTTCCAATGCCTTGAAAAGGCTTCTCATAAAAACGATCCGCAGTTCGGAGGCGGCGTAAATGGATGGTCGNTGTATGTGTGTGGTGCGGTGTGTTTTGAGTTGCAGTATAACAAATAAAACTTGCGCAAAACAGGCGAGAAATGTTGTGATGTGCATATGTAGGAGCAATGGAATTATTTTATTTAAATTAGTGAAAGTGAAATATGTAGGTACTTCTTATTAAATGTTGAGGACTTGGGATATGAATTAAAGCTACTTTACATAAAATGCCTTGGGAATCTCAGTATGTGCTGTCTAAATAAAAATTATGAGCCCTTAAAACTCAAACGAAAATGAAATCGATAACGCTAACTAATCGCTTGAGTCACATTTAAGTTTTTTTCTCTTGTTAAAACTAACTGAAGTAAAAATTGAGATAAGCTCCTTAGGAAACTTTCGTTTGTAGGTTTCTCTTGGCCAGAAGTAGGTTGATTTTCGTATATTCCCATAAATAGCATGCGTTCCAATGCCTTGAAAAGGCTTCTCATAAAAACTATCCGCAGTTCGGAGGCGGCGTAAATGGATGGTCCAAATAAAATAATGTCGGAATTTTAATGCTCTCACCCCCTAGATTGTTCTATGTCGCTCAAAGCGCTCAAAATTGTCCATGTATTTTATATGAGGGAAAAAGCAACTTTTCATAGAAATGGTATGGTTTTCTTGAAAATCAATATTTTTCGATCGGAAAACTCTGATTCTCTTCAGGAGACTTCAATAGTAATATCCGATTTTTTATTGAACTATTTTTTAATACTAACGACTTTTTTTTGGTGCCCCCAGTGCATTTTTGGTGTTTTTGGGGGTTTGGACCTATAAATTATAGTTACTATGAAAAAATGGTCGAAAAATATTGATTTTTAAGTATTCTGTACCATTTCTACGATTTCTTTTTCCTTATAAAATATATGGAGCGTTTTACGCGACCTCTAAAAATTTTTTGATTTCAAAATAAAAAATAGGGGTATATTTTTTTCTTTACTTTATAAAATGCTCTTAATGATGTTATGCGTGACTTGATTTAATTGTAGTTAGCACTTACGTCGAATTTCCTCGGATGGTCATGGCCAGGGAACAGATTCNGGTATGGTTTTCTTGAAAATCAATATTTTTGATCGGAAAACTCTGATTCTCTTCAGGAGACTTCAATAGTAATATCCAATTTTTTATTGAACTATTTTTTAATACTAACGACTTTTTTTAGGTGCCCCCAGTGCATTTTTGGTGTTTTTGGGGGTTTGGACCTATAAATTATAGTTACTATGAAAAAATGGTCGAAAAATATTGATTTTTAAGTATTTTGTACCATTTCTACGATTTCTTTTTCCTTATAAAATATATGGAGCGTTTTAAGCGACCTCTAAAAATTTTTTGATTTCAAAATAAAAAAATAGGGGTATATTTTTTCTTTACTTTATAAAATGCTCTTAATGATGTTATGCGTGACTTGATTTAATTGTAGTTAGCACTTGCGTCGAATTTCCTCGGATGGTCATGGCCAGGGAACGGATTTTTAGGACCTAAAAACCTATAAAAAAGGCAAAATCAAATAGCGAAAAAGGCAGGAAAAGGCACTAGGTGTTGCAAAAAAGGCAAAAAAAGGCAAAACAAAATAGCAAAAAAGGCAGGAAAAGGCAATAAAAGCAAAATAAGGCACCTAAAAGACAGAAAATATGAAGAACAATTAAAAAATACATTTATATTACAAGTAAAAAGAGGAAAACTATGAACTTGTTTCATTATATGAAAAATTTGTACTTTGAATCTTTGACTACTTTATCCTTTCGAGTTTCTAACTCACAAAACTTTAATCTGTATAGTTGTAGTAACATTGAACCACAAGATGCATTTTTAGGTTTTCTGGCAGCATTTTCATTCGATTTTCGTGAAGAAAAGCCTTGAATGTACTAAATGTGCGCTCGACGTAAGTTGATACAAGTGGAGCCCAATTTAAATATGGAACGTTTGAAACGTTCATATTATCAGAAATAAGGGCGTTTTCCTCGCCCTTTATAATTCTATCAACACCCCTTATTGTCTCCAAGCCTTCGTTAGCTGAGAAAACGGCTTTGAATTTTTCCAACACCAATTTGGCAAGAGGTCTCTGCGCTTCTATAAGCCGCATGGGCAATGTGTATATTTTTTAATCTTTAAAAACAATGTAAATGCTATAATCACTTTTTTAAAGGTAGAAAAGGCAAAAAAAGGCAAATATCTTAAAAAAGGCAAAAAAAGGGAACATCAAATGTGTATATATGGAATCAGGGAAAGCTAAATCGTGGACATTCTTAATCGAATATACTCTATCTCTTTAGCAGAAAAAAAGGCAATTTCCATAAAATCCGTTCCCTGGTCATGGCTATTAACAAACAAAAAATACATAGATTTATTTACGTAATTTATTATATGAGAATGCATACTCCAAATGAAGAGGGCACTTACACGAACACTTAAATACAAACATGTAGTATTACATATATTTACGCACATACATATGTACATTTTTATGTACGTATGTATATGTCTACGATATATATGTACACATGTATATGCGCTTCAATTAATAAAATTATTTTTCTGACCTAAGTCCAGTATGCTAATTTAATGTATGTACATTGCTATGTATCTATTCTTAAGTATACCTGAGTGCACATACAAACACATAAATATTGTACATATTTATGTGATGTCCACCTTTCTAACTTCCATTACAGGAATCAACATGTAAATGACTACTGGTGGAAAATGAAAATGATTTGCTTTGTATGTAATACATTTCGTTAATTAAATACCACAGAGTGGAAATTGGGGCCTTCGGAAAAAAAAATTGCACACAAATTAAATTATGTATGCCGACTAGGTTAATATACCAAGCCGAAATGGTAAATGTATATGCACATAAATAAGTAACTTTTTTTCAGTTAATAGCCACGCGATCTGATGAAAACTAAAACCAAAATTATTTGATGTGCTCTCAAAATAAGGAAAATCAGTAGCCAAATTTTTAGAAAATTGTTTTAAAAAGCTATATTTAAAGATACATATGTATTTAGGTGTGTTGCTGTTTTAAATATAATATATTTAAATATATATTTATACGTATATATAATATGTATATGTACGTAAATATGTATATGAAAATATGAAATTCTTAGAACTTTTTTGACAAATGTATGCATATACGTCATGGGTGGAACAGACAGGCACGCACTGTGGTCGCGACAATAATTCATAGAGCAAACTTGAAAAATTAAAACGAATATTATACAGCTGTGTGTATGTACGTATGCTTATGCATGAAAGTTTTTATATGTATGTTGGGATGTACATTAGGATGGTCCAAAAATGCATATTTATTTATGAGCGCGATATATCGTCGCTACCATGTCAAACTATCGATTGTGCCAAAATGCATATTGCATAAGCTTAAATTTTTAATAATCATTGTTCTATTTTTTTTTTTTTAGAAAAGTGGCCACCCCGTTCATAAATATTTGTAAATATCTTCAAACGCTTTTAGTTTTGATGAAGAAACTTAAATATTTTATTGAGCTTTAAATAATTTTAGATTTTAAAATATCTGACAACTCTATGTTTCCAAATTTTTTTACCACAAACCTACACAAAACACCGAGTAGAATGAAGAAAAGAGTTAAACACATCCATTGAGCTGTTCGTGCGTGCTGTGGGTATGAAAATATAAATTAACAAATTTTTATATATAATAAATATAAGATTATCGGTTATTAAAACACACTTAGTAAAATTTTAAAGTTAAATAAGCATCACAGTGTTATTTTCTGAAGATTTCTGATGCGAAATAGTCTTGTTCGATAAAAAAATATTTATTTTTAACGAATTTATAGCAATTTTACAAAAAAAAAATTATTTTCCCCATGTAAAATACATGGGAAACTTCAAAGCCTCGGCGGCACGGGTAAATATTAACTGATTTCCAAATAATAAAAAAATATGTGTCTCCTTGTTTTTGATATTCTTCAAATCTGCGGGGTGTCTGGAAAAAAACTTTGGGCCACCCTAATGTACATATACATATGTATATGGGCCATTTCCAAACAAAGTTATATTTTTTTGTCCCCCCTTTTTAAATTTTGTTTATGGTAATATAAACGAAAACTCAAAAACCGCATTATACGATCCAAATAATAAGCCACCAACAAAGCTGATTTTTTATTATTGTAAGCCGTTTTGTTTTCTTTTGCGAACGGTATTTCTTCGATATATTGTACCTAGTGCATATAAAAATATTTTCCCCTGCTCAGGTTAGTCGATATTCAACATAAACAAAAAGTTTAAACAAAGAAACTTGAGATTTTTAGTATTTGACTGTATGTACATTCATATGTATGCACATAAGGGTGGTCTAAAAATGCATGTGAATAAGTAAAGTCTAGATTTTATGCTCTCACTTCCTAGGCTTAGAAATGGTATAGAATGCTTGAAAATCAATATCGGAAAACTCTGTTTCTCTTCAGAAAATTCTCAAAAATAATATCCAATTGTTTATTTACCCAGTTTTTCATAGTAACTTTATTTTAAAGGTCCGCCAAAACCCCAGAAAATGCAACGAGGAGACCAATAAAATATATTAAGTTTTAAAAAATGGTTAAATGAAAAATTTGGTGTTATTATTAGAAACCTCCTGAAGAGAACCAGAGTTTTTCGATCGAAAAGAGGAGATTTTCATTTCTAGGATAAGTGTTTTTTCCCCATATAAGCGCTTTGAGCGACCTCTAAATATTGTTTGATTTCAAAATAAAAAAATAGGGGTAAATGTTTTCGATGTAGAACAATCCTAGGGATTGAGAGCATTAAAATTCCGACTTAACTTTTTTTTACCAGCCTAATGCACATACTAAAAGACCACATTTGCTTCATATATATTGGATTTCAGTATTTTGCAAGGTTTTTAAAAAATATTCGGTCACAAGGACAAGGAAGTGTAACATAAATGTATGCGTACGTGTGGTTTTTTTTTCTTGTTTCATCGTATGTAATTTATATCCGTATGAATATGAATTTTAATTAAAACTCTTCTCCCATATTTGCAGGAGAACGGCACCTACTTGTCTGCGCTATTTTGTCGCGAACAAGGCTGCAAAGGCATCGTCATACCGGTGGAAACGAAGACCCTACAACCGGATTGGCGTTGCCTCACCTGTGAGACAATCTCCCCAAACACGAAAATGGCACGCTATCAGGACTTTGCATTGAATACGATCAATAATCGCATTAACAAGAGCACCGTACACGATCTGATCAATTTCATAAACGAGATGTGTCCACGCTTTTGCCCGCCATCGAATTATGTGTTAATCGAGGCTAAATTGAATGTAATTTGGCGCATGCTACGCATTAAAGACGAATTCACCGAAGAAGAAATGCAGCATCGTGATCGTTATCGCGAAGAGATACTCGAGGTATTGGACAAATTAGGTGCTGGAGATTGTACGTTGAAAAAGTTGATCACCAATGAGATACCATGTTAGCGACGAATTGGGAGTGTGAAGAATGCAGCGTGCTGAGACGTTGTGTTGGCAGAGAGAGAGTGAGAAAGAGGGATAGCGGCAGAGAATTCTCGTATTAATTGCATTAAGAAGTGTGTTTGTGTGGTAATTAAAAATCGCAATGCAAAATTACTTTCATTCATTATTGTTGGATGTACCATTTCGAATAGCAAGTAATAATTTATTCATGTAATTTGCCACTGTTTATCTAAAATCTAGTCAGCTTTTGTGCATCTGCGAATTTTTGCGACGGATTTATGTAGTACTTGTGTGTAAACACTTAATTATTTATTACTAAATAGTTTTGCCTTAAAATTTATATCTATGCGAGTATGTACATCTATATATATGTATGCATAAAATTACATGTTTATGTTTTTTTTTTCTAAAATTGTATTTCATACAAAGTCTGAACTCATTAGAAGAAGCCCAATAAAAATATTCGAATAAAAAATAATAAAATGATAGTACATATTAAGAAAAATGTGATTACGCTTCATTTCCGACGTTGAGTGAATTAATTAAGTAAATTCCTTGGCTGTCTTCTTGCTGTTAAGTACTTTTTTTTTTATAAATGTCTGATTGTGCACTTTGATATCTACATATGTTTTTACGCCCGCAAATGTTCAGTTCACTTTATTTTAATTTTAATTAGACTAGCAGAACATAAATGACATTTCTTGACAGCTGTCATCTTGGCCGTAGTACATATCAAGTCAACTCAAGCCAATCTTTCAGACAACCCAACCAACCAAGCAGTAAATTGAAAAGTGTGAAATCAAGTGGGAATTTAACCCTTTCAATGCCAGCGTCCAACATATGGAACACAATTTTTATTGTTGGCAAATGTGAGCAGTTGCATTACGTGTATGGCGCCGAAATGAGAATGATGTCAAATAAATATAAGAGAATTTTCCACGCTGTTGTCGTGGGCAAAGGGGTCCGAATGGAATTAAAACCTGGACAAGCAACCAAGTGGTCTTGGCCCAGGCCGACCAAAAGTTGTGATCCTAAAGCATACGAAGATATCTTCACTGCTTCCGAAGATCTACTAGTCTTACATAAATGTGGTCGCGAAGAGTATGAATGCTTTTACTGTCTGGCGATTCTTTGGAATGATGATAGAAAATATCGGTATCAAACGCAAGATTTTTAAGAGAGTTGAATTTTGAAAATAGGCACTTCCAGTCTGACGTGACGTGACATTCGAATAACAAAAAGTTAATAAATAAAATGAAAAGATCAAAATTTTCAAAACGGTTTTTTATATTTGCATAATAATCAAGTAGCCTTTTATTAAAAAAAATGAGAACAATTTATAGTAAAGATTTAAACATACAGTCAATGTCAAATGTAAGTGTACTCCTTGTTCTAATATAATATTCACAATTATTTTCATCAAAATTTTTTTCTTTTCATCATTTATTTATGAAAATATAGTTCATTCTGGAGCATAAACCATATAAATTAAAGTTTCACACTTTAAAAAGTTTCACAAAAATTCAAAAAATGTTCATCAAAATTTTTGTTCAGAACTTCTAGAAATTTTGATGAACATTTTTTGAATTTTTGTTCAGAACTTCTAGAAATTTTTCGAGTATGCAGTTTTGTAGCCCCTTCAATTTATTAACTCGTGATCAAAATCTACTTTTATATGGAAGAAAATGCGCAACACTCTCCATAAAAAAATTCAAAAAAATCAGCGGTAATTTCTAGCGACTTGAAAACTTATATATCCAGTATATTTATAAAAAGCAGTCAAATTTGCCCATAAGTAGATATCTATATGACTTTTATTTTCTTTTCGCGGTTGACCATTCGCTAGAATCGCCCACAAAATTATTTTGAAAACATTTTATGGGAATGTGGGCGCCTTTTCAAAACAAGTTGAAACTATAAAACAAAGTGGATGCTAGATAAAAGGTGATAATTATGCAAGTTTTTGTTCAATGCATTTTTGTAGAGTTGCCACCTGTAAAGATTACCAACAAAAAAATATCTTAATCATGACATTTTTTGTACAGGTATAATTGTGAGTACAATGGGCAATACCGCCTGAGTGCAGGGAAAAATTTGTTTTTGTTTTTTCCGGACACCAAGAATTCCAATTCCTTACACTACGCTATGAATTTTCTGAAATTTGATACATATATACATATTGAGTTTTTGTCTAGAATTGAAGAAATATGAAAAATGTTATAGCTTGTTACCATATTCTGTCACGGCCACATCTATCAGTTATGTAAACTACACAACAGTTGAAAAAAGCAAAATAATTTTTCAGCAGCGATCGCCGTCTTCCATGACAAAAATTTGTGGAAAACTGTACTTTCTTTCTTTAGTTCTGTGACAATTTAAATACGAACACCACAAATCAAAGCAAAATATCGGCGCCCAACACAAACGCTTTTCCAAATTTGTGGCGGCAAAATTTTCTTTTTATTATTATTGAAACTTAAAATTTTAAGCAAATACTCTTTGCATTTAATAGCTAATTAAGTGTTAAGTATTGCAACGATTACATAGAAAATTTCTCAAATCCCCAAATAAATGAAATTATCTAAACAACACAGAAAGTCTATAAAATTGACTACGAGTATTACGTCAAGCGGGTAAAATTACTTGCTCCTGCACTGCAACACGCTTAATAAATCTGTCAACAAGCATTTAGAACCAGACACAGTGCAACAATGTTCTTCGCATGTTGTTCGCGCTGAGTACCCACTAAAATGGGCGCAAAGATTTTTGAAGATAATTACAAATTTAACAATGTAAATATGCTCACTGAAGTGCCCATTCTAATTTACAAATGCCAAAAAAAATATGTTTGTTCATTTGTGTATAGGTACGTTTGCCTTATAGTTCAGGTATATGTATATATTATGTTTGTATGCATATTAGGGTGGGCCAAAAAAAAGTAAAGCCGGAATTTTAATGCTCTCAAGCCCTAGAATTGTTCTCTACTGAAAAATATAACCGCGTTTTTTATACCTTTTATGAACATGAAATGGTTTTATACCTTTGGTCCGATTTGGTATGTGGGTGCATTTTTTAATGTTTAAATCATTTTTCGGAAGCTGCAAAATCGGACCACTATAACATATAGCTACTACTAATTGTTCAAATATGAGATTTTACTATTTTCACTGAGTGCCAACAAAAAGCGTATTTCTGAGTTGTGCCTAAGTTGGGTTTCTTATGTTCGCAGTTGGAATTATATTCCATAAATCAAAATTGGAAAGGGCGCTTCCAACCCGTTCAAGATAAAACGAAGTTTTAGAGACCACTAGTCACGTTAGCCGCTTCTATATACCGAAAGAATCTGGTCTTTATCCAATGAAAGGCGTTTGTTTCTACAATCTCATCCTATACTAATTGGAGAATCCTATGAATCGTTGTCCGACCCTGGAGCAAAAAGTGGAACCAGGGTTGCTCTGAATCCCTCTTCTTAAAAGCAGTCATTGAATCACAACTTGGACCAGAAACCTTTTTATCCTTTTGTGTGAATAGATGAAGCCATACAAGGACATCTCCTGGCCTTAGGTCACATAAGGTGTGAGACGCAATGTATGTAGTTCCTTGTTTCTTATGCACTCCTAACAGCGGTCGCCCCTCGGAAGGTAGTCTCATGAAATCCGCTGGCCGATCAGAGGTGGCGTAAAACTGTAAACTCCTCCATCAAGACGCACACCGTAAAGTAGAGGAAAAGCTCGACCAAACACTTAGCAAAAGTGTAAACGCAAAATGTAAGTCGCTTTCCGTCTGTCGGGTCGGCTAGTATGTATTAATAAAAAAAAGTAGCTCTGTATATCACAAAAATTTAAAAAATATATGAAATTATTTTTTATTAAAAAAGAAAATATATTTGTGGCTGTTTTTTTTTAACTTATACTAACTCCAAAATTAGTTAAACCAATTTAAATTCTAATTGTTTTAAAGCTTTTGATATCTTCCTACAGGCCCCTCTGGCAGTTTCATATTTGCCAAATTTATATTTATTTACAAATGATTAATGTAGCCCTGATTGTAATCAAAGAAATTGCGGCGTGCGCTCGAAAATAGCAACGGGAAATAGCTTACAGCTCGCGAGAATGTGCCGCCCCTACAACAGCACTTTTCACCTTTTTTTTTCAATTAAAATATACATCCAATAAATGAATATATATTTCATTATTTCAACAAGGAAGAAGACACAATTGGCATAGTGAATATTTGGCTAGTCTTGCCAATAGCCCAGTGTGAAGAATGCTAAGCAACGGTAGCTACAACTATATATATAATATTTATTTGTTAACCTTTACACATATAATACGTTTGTATGTTTGTATTCACCCTGCAGGGAAACCTCGACTTAGTCAATCAAATTTCTAGTTCCATACTAGATTTTTATCGTCAAAAACGAACCAGTCCGATAGTAGCTAGATCTCCACCGGTCTAAAATCCGCGTAAAGTAGTACTTTTAAAAAACTATTTTATTTCATTTTTTTTCATTAGAGATCTATATCGAAAGTGACGAATTTAGAAGTGGTTCGAAACTATAGAACTTAGGACTACTTTGGAACTATCGAAAAAGGTATGCAGCGGGCGGCAATTGACACTTACTACGACATCGCCATCTTAAATTCGCCAGTTGTTTGCATGCAAAAGAGATTTATCGCGAACCAGTACTGGGTCCAAATGTACTAGCAGCGCACCAGTTCAGAACTAGAGATTTTCCCCACAGGGCAAGGATTTGAATTGTAATAAAACAAAGCAGCCAATAATAATGAAAAACTGTATCTGTTTTTCATACTGGGTTAATATTAATTTAACAAAAATGTAATGTTAAGGCTATACATAAATATTTCAGTTGTATATTGCATATTTAGCCTTTTCAGACAAACCGACTGGTGTATTTTTTTCGATAATTATACTTGCATGCCAAGTTTTATGGCGCTTTCCCTTAAAAAAAAAAATTATACAATTATTTTGCAATTAAAAAAGGATTCCTGCACTACTTGTTGTTATATTTACGTCGAAAGAAGATTTATGTTACACAAACTGCGCCCTAAATAGAAAATATTATAAAATTGAGACTCGAATTAACATTTTTAAAAACTGGGACAATGTCGCTCATATTTAAGAACTGTGGTATGTCAGTGCATCTACTTTTACCATTTTAAACATTTCTCCATTTTTAAATGCAGAATAGAGCATATACGAAATTTCAGCGAACGTTTACTACTTTTCGCCGCAGCCTATATGGGGACGCCCCACTGTGCGTTTGTGCCATGTCGAACGGCATGATCACGCGAGCAGAGACGCTGCACTAAGAATTTTCGTTTCCCACTGGGCACACTTGCTTTGTTTCCATATTCAAATTCAGGCAAAATACCGCGTGACGCCAAAGAATATACGTCTTTGTTAGAAACGAGCATGATAAAATATTTGTTCATTTCTGGATCCAGAATTTTGTTGTACTTTGTAAAAAGAAAAGTTTCATGGCTTAATGTTTTTTTTTTTATATTTTACTTATTATTGAGTATATTTAGTTAATTAAGTCATTCGTACATGGAATAAGAAATTTTGGCTTGATTTATTTATTATCTGATCTAAAACATAAAAATACATAAAAAATTAAAAAATTAAGAATTACTTAAATACATAGGTACATTTGTGAAAAACATGCAGAATACACAAAACTCAGAATATAAATTATGTACAAAAACATTATCTATTACTTTTAATTCAGTTTTACAATTATTTTTAAATTGAGCAGATCTCTATACATATATATGTACATGGTGAAATTATAGCAGGTGCAGTAGTAAGAGTCGGAAGAAAGATTTGACACTATCTTATTTAAAAATGTGCCTTTGAAAAGTTCTATAAGATAGCCGAATGTCAAGAGAATAAAACGAGAAAGCTGTTTTATTACTGCACCTGTTTTTAATTTCACCATGATGTACATATATATGTATACCTATGTCAAATATGTATACATAAATTATGTGTATTTATTTTTAAATAAGTTCCAGCGCATCGTATCGTATTGGTACACAAGCAAGTTTTAAGGGACTGTCAACAGAGGGTACCATTAGAATTTAAGCGAACCGGACAATGCTGCAGCCAACTCCATATTAAAGCGTCATTATTTAACCACATTATACTGTATTTGTCATTTCATCAAAGTGTAAACGACTTTTTTTCGTGCGACAACTACGAAACTGAAAAGCACCGAGGAAAAGGACAGCAGATAGGCGTCGGCTTCTGTGTGACGCTAACAGACAGCATTGCCCAACAATTTCAATTTGTTTGTATTGGTTCTGACGTTTCGAAAATGGTGATTTTGACACTACTGACAATGAGCTGGAAGCAAAGCCATCAACCTTTATAGACGCCGAATTGGACGATGACCATATTAGGTGTGACTAAACAAGACATTTTCAAAGTTAAGTCGTAGAAGGCGTATGTTGAGCGCGGCCAGTCGGGTCCATCGGCGCCAAAGCCAAATATCCCTGGCAGCAAGGAAATGCTCTGCATTTGGTGGGACAAAAAGGGAACCCCGTATTATGAGTTTCTAAAAAGTGTTCAAACGATCGATGGAGCTCTCTACAGACAACAGCTGATACGATAGAAGCGAACAAATACGATAGATACGAAAAAATGGCCGGAATGGGCAAACAGACATGGATAATTAATCTTCCACCCAGACAATGCGCGCCCGCATGTCGCACAAGTGCTAAAAACTTATGTCGATGGTGCCGAATGGGAAGTCCAAACTCGCCCGCCTTATAACACAGACCTTGCATCATCAGACTACCATTTGTTTCGGTCGGTGAAGAGTGTCCTTACGTGAATATGCCTTACTTCAGTTGAAGGTATTAAAAAATTGGTTTGATACTCTCTCTTGGCCTGCCTGCAGCTGTCAAGAAAAACTAAAATTTCATGTAAATTGACGTACAAGAAAAGGAAAAGGAAGTTTCTTCGATCGAAATTTCTTAAATCAGTATGAAACTCTTAAGAAAAAAAATGGTCGTATACAAGGCATATCAAACAGCATTAGAGCGAAAACCACTTTTACGTGTATTTTTTTGTTGCTTCTGGTATCTAAAACGTCAAAAACTGTTCTGGTTTTTTTCTTGTAAATCAAGTTTGCCATGTGAGATACATACAAACTAAAATTATAAATTTACTTTGATAAAAATAAAAATTGGGGCGACTTTCTTTTTCAGTAACTTTGTTTACTTCTCGAAGCATTGATTCATCATTTGCAACGCCGAGTAATCAGCGTTTATGCTGCTGAGTTAGGTGACTTTCCAAAAGTTGCTTTTCAAATACTTGTTTTGTAAGGGAAACGATTTCACTTGCAAAAAAAATTTTACAATTTATCATTTTTTCTGAGAAAAAATTAAAAATATTTGATATTTTAGAGACCAAACAATCTGGAAAAAAAATTAAATCAGCTGCTCAACTGATACTACTTGTTCAATTTGCCTTGGTCGTATATTTATTTCTTCAAGAAAATTTACAGCAACCGCAAAATTATTTTCCTAGCAACAAAGATAATAAAAAATATTTCTTGTGATTTTTCTTGAGAACTGAGTTTAAAAATCAAAAAAAAAGTTCCTTTTAAACTTACTTGTACACCTATTAAAATGAATTTGAGACTCAGTACAACTACATACATGCATACAATAAAAAAAAATTTCTCAGCTGATTTTGTATCGACATAACAGGAAATCGTGAATACCCTTAACAATTATTGTACATGGAGTTTAAGCATTCGATATGTGCCATAGTTTACCTGAGCAATTATACTTTAAGGAGAGGCAAGTATTGACAAGAGAAAATATTTTCATTATTTTAACTTGTGATATGACTATTTCAGATGACCAGCTAACGGTAATATGGTAAACTTCTTTTTCTTAGATTCATTTGTCATTTTGCATTTGTCATTTCACATACAACTATATAAGACCTGTACGCTCTCATTTTCTATAATAGTAGCTACAATAGATTTAAATTTTTTTTATTTATATTAAGCTAGATTAATTTCAAAGACTTGTACATAAATATACATATGTGTGGGTTTACATACATACAAATGTATATCAAAGGCAAAATTGATTCCCTATTTTTGAGATGCGCCCTAAAGGCACTTCTTTCTCAAACATATCTATCTAGCTAGTTTTCATATACGTAAATCTAAAAAAGAATTGCAAAAAAAACATAAAACATTAAAAAGTATTGGCAAATAAACGCGCTTAACACATAATTGTATCAAAAAGTCCTGCAAGAGGACGGAGCGGAAAATGTTGCGGCACTTGGCCTATGTACCAGTACATCTTGCCAAGACATGACACTAACTTAGCGATAACGTCTGCGCAGTCGCTTGCTGTTGTTTTTTGGTCTTCGCCTCGATATGTCGTTGAAGTGGCGGAATACCGAAGAGCATAATACCACTAATAGCAATCGTAATGCCGGCCATGAGGAAGGCGGGACCATACGAATCGGTTACATCATATAGCCAACCTGTGGGAAGAGAGAGAGAGAGAGAGGGAGCGAAGTAAAAACGTGCTCATAAATAATGTTGACTTAAAAAAAAGATAAACCAAAAAATATATTCACCCACCGCCAATTGGTGGTCCAATAAATGAGGCTACACCCTGGAAGAGCAGCAACAGACCAAAAGCGTTAGTCAATTTCTCCAAGCCAAGCAGATCGACTAGAATCACTGAAGTCAAGCCGACATAAGCGCCGATGGTGAAACCGAAGGCCGCACAATAACCAGCTAGCGAATAAAAGCCAGTGCAAAGCGGTGCCATAGCGGTTGCTAAAATAGAGAGCGAATAAATTTAAAATATTCTTGTTTTTTTTTTTTAGTTAGAACAAACATTTTTATAACATTATTTGGTTTTTGTTACGGTTACCATGATAAAAATATAGTAAGGTAGAACCGCTGAGAGTCACTTTTAAGATTCTTGACGTTTCCAAACAATTTAATTTTTAAATTTACTCACAAACTCACACACACATTTTCATTTTCAATCTCAAGCAACAACAATTTCGAACAATTTCAATTTTTTATTTTCACTTTTATATGATTTTAAAATGTTGGCAAACTTCAAAAAAAAATCATGGCCGACAAATTGAGAGAACGGTTATACCTTGCTATGTTTTTATCACTGCAGTGCACTTACACACGCCACACAGCGTCAAACAGACATTGTAAACCCACAAACGATTTACCCATGGCTTGTCGGCCAAATAGCCAAGCACTATTCGGCCAATTGTGTTGGCCCCACCAATTATGGCAATCAGGTAGCTGGATTGCTCACTGCCAAGCTGCAATGTTTCCGCTTGCGAGACTATATATATGTAAGGTACATTGAAACCGATGCTGGTGAAGAAGTTCGAGAGCGCAAATACAATGAAGACGACATCCTTTATCAGCGAGAAATTCATCATTTCGACAAAGGTGTCGTGAGTCTCCTTGGAGCAGGTCATACAGCCGCAACATCTTATTACTTCCTAAATGTGGGAAATGCAGAGATTAGTTAAGTGAAGATAATTGGGTTTGTTGGTGGAAAAATGTAAAAAATACGTTAAATAAAAAGCTAAATGTGATAATGTATAAAATTTTTAGTGAGACAAATGGTTTTTGCACTAATTTGTTAAACACTTATATTGGTTGGATACTTTTTTAAGGAACTCTCCAGTTTAGGAGAAATTTTGAAATAACTTTTTCCATCGTTTATATTCTTACTAAAAGTTAAACCATTTGGAACTCATTTTGTAAAAGTCTCCATTTTTGGAGACATTTTGTAGTACTAGTTTCTCGCTTAAATCTCATAAAAAGTCGTTTGGGGACCTTTTTACATAATTATCCACTTTTGGAGATATTTTGAACAACTTTTCCTTTTAAAACTCTTATTAGCTCAATGATTTCGGCACAACCGGATGTCATTTCTGAAAGAAAATAAAAATAGGGATGTCGTATTCATCCTCGTGATTGAGAGACTTAGGACCTCAGAGTAGATTCGGATTAGCTTTAGAACTATTGAAAAATTTATGTAAGAGCACAATGGAATGCAGGCACAGAATTTACCATAAAACGAGAGCGCAGTGGTTCGAATTTCATCTGGCGACCCTTTTTTATCTTAAGTCGTAACTATGCAGTCTCTTTCCCATATCAGTTCTGGTACAAAATTATGTGGAAGAATTATGGAAGAAATTAAAATGCATATAAAGGGATCATAAAAAATATTAGGTCCTACCAATTTTCTGATCTTGTAGGCTGCTACCAGGCATGTACCTTCCAAAGATCAACAATCTACTAAAAGTCTTTAGTTATATTTTTTAAGAGTAAATCTGAATATTGTGGTATCGTATTTGCAATATCCTTTAATAAGGAGAAGAAAACAGAGCCAGTGTAGAGTATCTGAGCCTCGGTCTCCTTAAGCTGGAGAGACTCTTGGTTTTCTTTGCAAGTACCTTCTTAAAATGCCACATATTCTTCACTCTGTGTTAGCCCTAGCTTTAACACATTAGTTGATGTGAGACACTGTCCTGTAAATGCACCAACTAGTGTCTTGCAATACAGCCTCGGAAGTTTTAGAATATTCAGCTGTAGTCCGGGAGATATACATATATATAAATATTCAACTCCACGCTCCGCATAAAACATAGCAGTTCCCTCTCCTCCATTCATTTTGAATCGTCCGTGAAAAGAGGTTTAAGGTGTTATTGGATCGGAGTCCTTTCTTCCACGCGTTTTATACTTTTTTAAGTTGGACTCTTTTCAAAAGCGGCTTAAGGAACAAGCGGCTAACTTACGTAAATTATTCTGCTAACTTACGTATGTATTCTGTGCCAATTCCCCTAGCGAATTCTTTATTCAACCAGGTCTATAGAATATAGGTCGTTAGAATGTTACGTAACGCCTCAGATAAACATACCTATTTATGTACAATTACATATATGTACATATATGATGTCTTTTTTAACGCCGGTCAAGCACTAAACAAAAGTGTAGGTACCAAAATATTATTATTATATAAAGGCAAAATAGACCATTAATAATCGAATGACTACTGTGTAGATCCAATACGTGAATTGTAAGGATAGGGTCCATGTCTTACAGTGTTTTTTTTTTGCAAGCGTATAAAGAATTAGGGGCCCCTCCCTCTCTTTCACATTTAACCTCCACATCAATCTACTGTCCAATAAGCGATATTTCGTATATTATTATTATTATTATTATTATTATTATTATTATTATTATTATTATTATTATCACACGAAGATCTGCGAGTGTTGCTCCTATCCAAACTATATTATCGCCAGGTTTAGAGCCCGAATAATGAATGAAAAGCTGCTGGCCTAGAGAGGCCGTGGCATTTGCCGAAATATTCTACTGGTTTCAGAACAAACACGACAGATGCGGAGAAAGAAATTTCCTACTGGGACTTACAATATTTAGGATAAAGAAATTTATGTGCGTAGCAACAAAGTGGGGAAGTACAAAAAAATTTTAGTTTTTCTAGATTTGAGTCTAATGCAAATCTCATTTCTCTAGCCGATGAGACCGAGAATTTGACCTATCAGCCCTATCGCCAATTCCATTTGAATAAATCCTATTCCTATAATTGGGAAATTTGAGTTTTGTTTTGCTTTACAATTTTTGGGAATATTTGTTCATATGAAATTCGCGATAGGGCCGAATAAATAAGGGTCACCCTAATCTCTATCGCATACATAGTACTGTGTATACTCCACTTTTATGCAAATTTTGAGTCCACTAATGCCTTCGGACTTTGTGGAACATGTTGTTGTATTAAAACATCTACCTACATAGGTGTGCGCACTCGCATTTTTGGTGGTATTTTTGTTGCTAATTTATGCTCATTTTATTTTTATGTAAATATGTAATACCCGAAAATTTCTAATACTTGTCTCGTAAAACGAAATCAATTGAAAATACATGCGTGCGATACAGCAATGTACAGCGCCAAAAATTGAGCAAATCACACCATTCAAAAACACCACCATCAAAAGTGTTGTGGATTATTTTGGATTTAAGTATTAATTTAAAAACAAAATGCAAATTGTTTGGAACGCTCATTGAACGTATGAACCTCGGTTGGACAATTATATTATTCCAGAATTAACACATAGTAGCAGAGTAGACTTCAACGTACGCGGTTGCGAGCAGTAGAAAGCAAAAAGGACGCGCGCACCCTGCAACAAGTTTCAAAATTAGTTTAAAGGATTTTCAGCTTCAGTTTATTAGAACACCAAAAACGCTTACAAAATGATACACGCATTCTATGCAGATACTGAAGTTTTCGTAACGGGCGGCTCAGGTGAGTAGCAGCGAAGCGAGTGTGCAGTTAATCAGAAAAACATTTACAAATTTTTGTGTGCGCTTATTTATGGAAATAGGCGCCGTTGGCAAAGCGCTGATTGAAAAGCTGCTACGCTCATGTAATGTGCGTAAAGTCTATGTGCTGCTGCGTACAAAGAAAAATTTCACCATTGAACAGCGTATGGAGAAATTGAAGAAGGCAAAGGTGCGGAATCTATGTCAAATACTTACATATATACACTACATATTTATATGTATAAAATACTTGAAAAAAAAGATATTAGAAAAAACGAAATTTCCTATTAGGTGTTCAAAGTATTACGCGCCACCAAGCCACACATGCTCGATCGGCTAGTGCCCATTCCAGGCGATGCAGCATTGCCAAATTTGGGCATTTCACCAGAGCATACCGCTCTAATGGAGAATGTTTCGATTGTCTTTCACTGTGCCGCAACTGTACGCTTCGACGAACCATTGCGCGTGGCCTTGAAGCTAAATGTGGGTGGCACCTTGGAGGCATTGCTGTTTGCTGAAAAGCTGAAGAATTTAAAGATTTTCATGCACGTCTCCACTTTTTACAGTAATCCGTATTTGAAGCGAGTAGAGCCGAAGGTAAAGCCAGCAGTAGTAGTTTTTGTTAAACCGCAGTTACGTAATTCTAACATTTTCAGATTTATGAATCACCACTTGATTGGAAAATGTGTTTGGAAATGTTGAAGGATAATAGCGAACGGGAGTATTTGGATATCCTGACAAGAAAGTGAGTAATGAAAGTAAATAAAAGAAATGGGGGAAAATTTAGGCTTTTAGAATGTTGGCATTGGTGATGCAATGTTCCATGCACCGGTTTCCTTAAATCTTACTTCTATAATAATCGCTGATCGCCGAGCAATTCAATCAAGGGAACAATTCTGCCCCTTTTTAACCGACTTCCAAAAAAGGAGGAGGTTATCAGTTCGTAGGAACATTTTATTTTTATTTTTTTATTTGTTTTTTTTTTATTTTTTTTATGTATGTATGTTACCGCATAACTTAGGACCACGTCAACCGATTTCGATAATCTGGTTTAGATCCCATCATTGTATCATGAAATATATATATATATATATTTATATATATTGTAGAATAAACTGACTTTAACATTTTGAACAGGTGTCAATCCCCTTAAAATATATTTTCGAAATAAATCGTTTTTGAACTTTTTTTCGTTTGACATCTGGACTGTCGTAATATTTCTTTTTACCTTATTAATTAATTGATTTTAACTTTCAAAAAGGAAGCAGCCATCTTTTAAATAATCCGGGCTATAATCTATCTGTATATTTTATTTTATTTAAATACGTCCAGCCGTTTTAGCGAGAGAGAGCAACAAACATACTCAAACGCTCACTCTCTCACTAACTTTCACATTTATAATAGGGGTACTCATACAACGTGATAAACTGCCGATAAACGTGATAAAATTATAAATTCCATACAAATTCATAATTTTATCACGTTTATCGGCAGTTTGGGACTTTAGATGAATATCCCTAATTTAAATATGTAGGATGCATGATAAAAAGCTCTACAATGTAGAGGACTGCATATCTGCAGCTCTCAAGAAAAACGAAAAATTCATATTAAATGACGCATAAGAAATGGAAAAAAATCTATTATCGAAACTTCTTAAATCTCTAGAAAAAATACTCCCTATTTTATGGCTATCTTTGCCTCATTTGCTTCTGTTTTTCCCAAGTTAGGAAATCCAGCAAAGCGGGACGTTGAGATGGCCCAGTGATGCTTACGCTTCACTTATCCATACACTAAATATGCAATTATGTTTGTTTATTGATTTTTTTGATCACTTATATACATACATACATACACACATATGTATTTTTTCCATTTCAGATTAATTATCGGCTTCCCGAACACTTACACATTCACTAAAAACCTTGCTGAGAGTGTAGTCAATGACTTTCGGAATCGAATACCAGTTGCTATATACAGACCGTCTATAGGTAAAGAATTAACATTTACAAAAATTATTTCATGCATACATACATACGGTCATATGCTACATACATACACATATTCGTCGATGTGGGTAATGCGTTAGTGAGTAGGTACTAAGGCAAAGGTTGACGATCAAGTGTTACATTTAATTAACTAATGTTGGTGATGTTTTACACACATATGTATGTATGTATGTATGTGGAGCCAAAAAAAAACTAAAATGCTACTGACTTAAACCTCGAGTGCTCAAAAGGACTGTCCACCAGTATCAGTACATATATTTGAGGATTTTTTTAGGCCGCACTTCTATTCATTTGGAGAATTTCGGCGACGAGAATTTAGCGTGGCGATTGTCAGAATCTCATTGCAGTGTTTTCCAGCCGAAGTATTGGCAATAACAGAAGATAAATTTGGCTAAAAAATTACGATATATTCTGAGCTGGCATAAAACCCTCATAATCACATAGCACCTACTATATAAAGATTGCAGACGTACTATGTATAGATGAGCTTTCTTTCGAGGAACTACGTTACAAACGATCTAGGCAAGAAGCGAACAAATTGTTCTTTGAGAACTCAGCGCAAGGAAAACGAGTCCCACTATTCTGCTGTAAAGGCTTAGGTTAAGTGAAGTTAAGGAGCTGTTTTGCAAAAACTGACCAGTTTATTAGTATTATAACGTACTATAATGTAAATTATTAAATTTAAGAAAAACTAACAGTCCAGGCTCTAAGAAGATAAACTTGTTTAGGGACAACCTATCCTTTGCTTTTCAAGGTTATCCTTTTAAGTCTGTCGCATGACAGATACCCTTTTGGCGCTGCCAACGTAAACGTACTAAAGATAATCTACCTAGCACCTGAGCTGGTTACACTGGTTACGGAAATCTAGACAATATCCGGCCGGGACGTTATACATTCAGTGAAAGCAACAGAAGAATCGAGGAAGCTTTAATTGACCACATGACCTTATCACTTCGCTTAACGCTGTTTGGAGAAGAGGAATACACATCATGAATTTTAAAAATATATAAAATTTAAACACACAATGTTAAATTTTGGGTTTGATGTTTATCTTTCCGAAGTCAACAGTTTGAAATGAAGAAGAAGTATTAAAAATATACTACTTTCCATTCAAATTTTTTGCAGTTCTTCAAGCTCTCACCGATCCCATACCCGGTTTTCCACCCACCATGATGGGTGCTATAGGACTTTTTGTGCTGGTCGGTGCTGGTATTTTAAAAACAGTCTTCATGTCATACAATTTGCGATTCGATATCACCCCGCAAGATGTTGGCATCAAAACAATGATGTACTACGCCTATCGCGCTGCCAATGAATATAGTGAGCGAAAGTAAGAACGTTAAAACAAAAAAAAAATACTAAAACGTAGTAGTAGTAAGTCTCGAAATTCTCTCTTTCAGAGCAATTGAGGATGCACCTGTTTATATGTCATCGTCATCGCAACACTCATTTCACACCTTCTATCAAATGTGTCACGTAATGGAGAACGGTATCTGGTATAAGGCGGCTTTCGAAAAGAACTTTATGCTGCCCGGTTGCCACTACACAGACAATCGTTTCGTATATAAATTTATTGTAAGTTTTTAAAGTGTAGGCATTTTTTAGCGACTACTATGAAGACATATTTGATTTTAAAATCTCCGCAGGTGTTTACTAAGCAAATATTGCCTGCCATGTTGGCGGATGGCCTAATAAAGCTCTCCGGGCGTAAACCAATACTTATGGGTATTGTACGCAAAGCCTACATCTCACTGGAGGTAATGAAACCCTTCCTCTTTAATACCTACGATAGTCCGGGTATGTCTTATGTAGATGATTTGATTGCGGCGACAGAAGGGTTAGTCTTGCGAGCTATGCAAATTTTGAAAAAAAAATAAAAATTTTGTAAGCAATATAAAACTTTTCAAATTGATTACAGCACCGAATTCGATCTGATTCAAGATGTGTCACGTGCCAAAACCGATGAAGGATTGATTGACATTTGTACAACCATGATTTTCTCCATACGCGAATATTTACTAAATGAAGATCCAAAAACTATTCCAATTGCACAGAGGCGCTTACGCATGTATGTATGGATAGTCTACTACTATACAGTACTGTTCAGATAACAGTTACCACTGCATTAGTGGTGGCAGAATATTTTACTTCGGTTGATTTAATGTCTAATATAACAAACACCATATAAATCCACATTTTAAATCGTGTACAGATATTATAAAAATTTAACAAATTTTCCCCAAAATTTCAAAGCTTTTATTCAGAACTTTAGAAGATTTTTTAACATTAGCAAACCAAATTTAACATTAAGCAAACCAACGAAATATATTCTGCCACCGGTATATGCAGTGGTACATTTTATCTGAACACTACTGTATAAATATTATAATTACAAATTTTTTCTCACATACATAAATTTTTGTATTCCACTTTAGTAAACGCTTGGTCTACAACATTCTACGTGCGATTGTCGCTTATTACATACTGCGTTGGTTTTACGGGCTACTGGTTAGCTATATATATTGAAGGAAACATAAGTGCTGATATAGTATATGGAACTGTCATTTTATGAGTGAATTTTACTACTTACATAGTACTTTTCTAAGAAAACCTACACTTCTTAAAAAACTTTAATCTGAAAGATTTTTTTCATCGAGGACTTCATAATTTGCGTGTTAAGTTTAAGTGCTACAACTATAAACTCCTAACTTAGCGTGGTTTAAAGTAGGCATAATAATAATTTCGGGAATGCTTTAAAAAAAAAAATACAGTGCTAGGCTAACAAATTATAGAGAAAATTCTACATTTATAATTTTAAAAAATATATTTTGTTGTTTCAGTACAAGGCATATTGACAGGTAGTATTATTAGATAAAATTTCAAATATTGTATGTAATTTTTCCGCAAAAATTCTTAATTGGAAAAATGTATTTCGATGCAAACCTTTGTTCATAAAAAGTAGAGATTAAAAGCCATATTTTGCAACGTTCGCTTTACTCAAAAGTGCAAACGCTGATTATTGGTCCTTAAAAGAATGGAGAAATCTCCTGGAAGAAAAAAAGTTCACCAAGATACTTAAACTTAAATAACTATGATACTTAAATAAAAAAAATAAAACTTTTGAAACTTTAAAGGCCACAAGCAAAAACAAAGTACGCGTAAATGTTTATTTTGCTCTAATGACCTCTCTCATATGCCTTGATTAAATATCTAATGCCGAATTTCCACTAGGCATTGGAATGATGAATAATGGGTGCCATTTATAAAATTCTATGTGGAAACGAATTAAAGACAAGTCTTCTTAACATAATGGTAAAAGTATTTTTTAATGCCCAACTTTGTCAATAAAATTTTGTGTCAGTTATAAAGAAATAGAGATTTGCGCGCACCGCTTACCACTACACTACAGTGGCCGCCAGTGTCAGTTAATGTCCGGCATTACGGTTGTTGTCGTAATCTACTTTTAACAATAATAGTTATAAATAAATACATTCAGAAGGGAGAATAACCTATCCGGTGGCTTCAAAGAATTCTATAAGTCAAACAACTAAGCGCTGGAGTTACATTGGGTAAGCACTAGGGTATTCGATTATTTGCCTTTCCGAAACTGATTTTATTTTGCATAGTTTTCATACAGTAAAAATGCTTATGTTGGTATGAAGTCATGATTAAAAATTACAATAAAACTATTAACAGTAAAGAAAGCTTTTATTTAGAAAAGAGGAAAGCAAAAGAAGTTCAAAGTTTTTTTTTTAATATCAAAAGTAAAACAACCAAAAATAAGTGAAAAATTCACGTTTGGCATTTTTTTCAATTTTGAATATTTAGTTGCATATTTTCCGGCTGTCTCGGATTTGAGTAGTGCTCTTGCTGCCGTAGCAGTGTTGCAATTTCTAGTCCCAGCAACAGCAAAACAAAGTTACTTCGGAGGTGGAGTAAAAGTGCTGAATTGTAGGAAAAGCTCGGTCAAGCTCGTAGAAAACGTTTAATCGTCAAATATTCGTTTATTGGAATGAAGTATGATAATTCCTACGGTTCATCCCTAAATAACCTAGAATATAATTTTAAAACTATTTAGGGGTTTCCCTTAAACAACATATCGGATAGTCAGCCTTTCTGTCATCTACCCACGGGCTATACGGCAGAGCTTCCAAGAAGTTGGGGGAACACTTAGTTTCCAGCACACTGGCTGATGTTAAAAGGTAAAAGGCAACTCTGGAGATTTTAAACGGCGAATAAGCAGTCGTAGACTTATACTCCTCAGAGAACGAAAATCTCATCTATCCAGAACCTAGAACATGAAACCGTCCGAAGTTCTGTACTTATTTGTATCTACAACTGTACTTCCGTTAAGGACCAGACCCAAAAACTTTGACAATTGCCTCTCTTCTTTGCGAGGTTGCGCCAGTTGTACCCCGAATTCATACAGGTTCTTCTGCACTTGGTCCTTCCATGTGTTCGTGGGCGCATTTTCGTTCGTTGTCCAGCCATAGGACAAGACGAAGGATCTTTTCACCGGAGCCTCGTCATTAGGCAGAAGTTAAAATCCAATTTTTTAGAAAAATTCAAAGAATTTTCGAAAATAAAACTCAAAATATTTACAAAAAAAAAAGTAAAAGATTCTTGATTCTGAAATAAATCCCCTCAAAATTAGCAGCTCATTCGATGCAGCATTCTACATACAGATCACAATTGCACTAGTAGTCTGGAAGTCTTGAACATCTTCGGTAATGGAAAGCAAATCGTGCGAAAATTATTGGTATCGGATTAAGTTTTGATATAAAAAGATTGATACTCGCTTAATATGTAAGTTTCGCGACTGCTGTACAGTGGATGCAACATAAGTAAACCAGCTAAGTAATGGAACAAATTATAGCGAAAAAAATGCTTCTACCCACCTGACTTTGGCTGCCGCGTGCGGCATGTCGCACCGAACCATAACGTTTTGTTATACCCATGCCGGAAATATCGGTACGCGAGGCCGTGTACTCCGGTATGTTGAGTAGAGAACCCTAGAAAACCAGTAAACAGTAAGCAACAAATTGTACTGTCCAATACTACATACTACTCGCACTTACCTGATATAGGATATCCGGCCGATACATTGTGCCACTGCCCCAGTTCTCATGCGGCGGCTCTAGACGATCCAAATGCGGCTGACTACGATGACGCACCATATCCGTGCTGCTGGTGCTCTGTACGCTAGTCGGGTCTGGGGTTTTGCCATTTGCACCATTGCTCACAGTCTGGTTGTTCTACACAAAAATGAGAAATTCGCATGTAAGCTACACTTGAAAATACAAATAAACTTAAAGGATAAGTGACATCAACAACATTCATGTAGGTAAGGGGGTAGGCAGGGTGTTAGCTTTTGGTTAAAACAATATTTGTGTACCAAACACCGCTGAGGGTGTGTAAGCTTGACTGGTGGGAGGGGGTTTTTTTTTGTTTTATATCAGAGCGTGCTTGGATTACGTGCAGAGAGAAAAGTATGTATTTATGTTTACATGTAGTATGTTTGTATGTAGGTAAAATGCTAGCGTGCTTGGACACATACATACATTTGCGTATAGCAGGAAAGTATGGTCTGTTTGATTTATATGGGAATCGTCTGACGGTGTTGGGAACGAACTACATTTTACTTGCGCTAACAGCATTGTCAAGTCGAGCGAGAGCATCCGGCAATGCGCCAAGGAGGGACGCAACTGTCGCAACTGTACCCCGTATGTTTGTTGTACGAACGCGCAGCAAATAATGAGTAGAAGTAGAATAAAATCGAATTAGAATACTTGTATGCGAGAAACATTCTAAGAATTTTGATGCACCCAAATACTAAAGATTTGCAATATTTTCAATTAAACAAAAACCACTCCTATTTACTACGACCAATCCCATTCCCACTTACATTATTGCTATTGAAACCATGTCCCACGCTGTTTGAGCGACACAGCGCCTGCGCCACTGGCAACTGCAAATACTGATCTCCCCCATCCGCAGCTGATTTTAACGGTTTCAGCTCTGCACTCGTTGTGTGATTATCAATAAGGCTGGATTTCTTCACTTTTTCTGGTTTTGGTGGTTCCAATGGTCGAAAGAGCGCACCGAAGATAATGCAATTCAATACAATGCCACCAATGATGAGCATCGCACCACGCCACCCAAACGAACCGATCAGATGTTCGGTGAGCGGTGCAAATACGAACGTACCAAAGCCGGAACCACACACCGCAATGCCGGTGGCTAGCGAACGTTTCGCTTCGAACCATGTCGTCACACTTACAATGGCTGGCAGATAAATGAGTCCCAGACCAAAGCCGGTGCCGATGCCAATTGTGAAAATGAGTGTTAGCACATTTTGTGCAAATATGCTGGCAACGATGCAGGCGGCGGCAAATATGGAACCGGCTATGGTGACTGCGCGACAGCCGTAGCGATTGACGAAGGACGAAGAAATGGGACCTGAAACGGTGAGGTATAGAAGATAGGTATTTATATTTTCGATATGCTTATTTTATGCACTTGTAAGTACTTACCTGAGGCATAGGTAACGCCCACCATGATGGACACTATCCAAGCTGTGTAGCCTTTGCCTTCGTTAAAGTAACTGAGAAACTCATTATAGAAGAGACCGAAAGAGTATGTCATACCATCCGCTGTGGACGAAAAATAGAAAAAACAATTTTAGTATTTGTGGTACAAAAAAATTAAGAGGTTGAAATGAGGAGGTGGGCATATTTTTTAGTCCGATAAAAATCTATATTTTCAAAGCTCTACTTTTTTAATTGATAGTTATATATTAAAATAAATTAATTTGGAGTATGGTTCTGAGTGCAGTAGTCCACGAGAGTATGAAAATCTTTTGACTACTATATCAACGTATCCTCTGAATAGCGACCAAACACCCGTTTGGAAACGAGCTAAAGAGAGAAGGCACAAAATCTCACGTGCTTTGGTTAAGGGTATGCACCTAGAATATTCGGACTCTTAATGAGGAAGTTACCTCTGTCCGACAAGTTGATGTTCTCGCGAAGACAAAGGCTGACATCACCGCCATGCAAGGAAATAAATACGTGTGGTCTTGCGACATCTACAACAGCTTCCACGTAAAGGCGCGCAAACTTGGTGTTGCACTTGTGGTGTAAGAGATACTGTCGCCCACCCCATTGGACATCGTTTAGCCACAATCCGAAGCAAAGCGATATTCTTCAACATCTTGCTCATCTGCATCCATGCCCGACAGAAGAGAAAGACGAAGCGTCCAAGGATCTCTTCTATAATAAAAGTCATACTTGGAGATTTCAATGCCAAGGTGGGCAAGGAGGGGATCTTTGGCGCGGCTGTCAGAAAATTTAGCCTCGACGACTGGAAGTCCGATAACAAACTGAGGCTGATCGACTTCGCCGAGCCAGAAACATGGAAGTATGTAGTACTAGGTTTCAGCATAAAAAGATCCACCTAGCTCAATGGCTGTCTCCAGATAGGAAAACCAAGACCACAGAGCAAGAAAACCTCAACGGCGAAAAGCTGCAGTCACAGCTTTAACTTAGCTTTAAAATTTAACTTAATATTACAGAATACGGATACGAGTAGGTGTCGATACTTTAGATTCGATATTTTTAAGATATCGATACTTTCTTTCGATACTACTTCCAAGTAAAAGTATCAATACATGCATAGTCCATCTTCGATTTGATAGAAAAAATAATAAAAAATTCAATAACGACTGTACTGGTTTTAAACCAGTTTTGGTTCGCACTCGAAGAAAATAATCCCACTATTGACTGGGCAATGTGCTAAACATAACTAGATAGTATTTTTTATCAACATTCTTACTGTTATCGAAATCAGACGGGATCAGTTGCCTAGTTTACAGTTTCAGGAAAAGTGTAATGAAATAATAAGTGCAATATTGATAATAATACGAGTACATATATGGATAATACTATTTAAGTGAGTTGAATAGGTTAATAAAAATCCCGTTGTATAGGGCAGGGTATTAGTGCCTGAGGGCCATGACGATATTAGAGCTGGTAAAGTGAAATGCTTTAATAAGCGGGATATTAAATCAGATTGCTTTTAGAAAACTAATATGATTAGATTAAAATTTAAGAAATGGAATTAGTGAGTGAATGTGTGTCTGAATTAATGTCGTAGTTATCATTTTGTTGCGGTATATGTCTATACTTACGAAATAAGTATGGAAAAATTGGAATAGATTTTCTTACTGAAATAATATTTATGGAATTAAAGACGGACCACAATCTGATGTAAAGATGTCTATGTACATGCATGCTACGTACTTAAATTTTTCGAAGCAACTGTTATGTGAGCCGCATAAAAGTCTAGACATTTTTGTTAAGTCCCGAGGGTCACTAAAAGTCTTTCGACTAGCTACCGATACCCGTTTAATTGAACAGATCGTTCAATTACAGAAATTACGCTAAATTGGACATCCTAATCAATTAAAAGAAAATTCATGTGCGCATTTTAAATCATTACTAAATTTAATGATAAGTAAACTTTAAATGAAAAAAGAGGGAATAGAAACATTTTATATTTACTGTTGTTCATACATAATTATGTATACTTGTCCTCACATTTTTACAAAAAAAAATATATAAAAAATAAATAAAAAAATAAATCAACCGGGATCAGTTATGCGGGAAAATTTACATTGATTTCTTATGCGAATTTTTTTTTTTTGCTCATAGAATAATTCAAAAAAGCGGAGAAATCAATTAACCGGAGAATACTGTACCAAATTTCGTAGATATCTAAATTTTTGCTCGAGCTATCGTGTACACGGACGGACAGACGGACGACGGACGGACTGGCGGACATGGCTTAATCGACTTCCCTATTCATTCTGAGCATTTATGTATACATTTGTCTATATCTATCTCGATTCATTTTAGCTGTTAGGTAGAACACAAATATTTTCTTTCATTCCGGTGTTATTCTTGAAAACGACGATTTAAAAACACAAAACTCAACATGTATAAATTAATAAAATTTTGCATGCAATTTTCGATGTCGAATCACGAGTGATGCGGAATTGAACCGAAATATTTTACGCTTTGCTTTGGAAGGACAACGTAGTTACATAGAGATAGACATATAATACTCTAAATTGAAAGCAGTCACAATTCAAAACTTTTCAAAATTAATTTTTTCCTCCTATAAAATAAATAGTTCACAGACCATATATATATGATGCTTTCCATTTCCAGACAACCGGTCAGGTACGAGCATGATTTTTAATTTCGACCAAACTCAAATACATTGTTTGTTGGTCCAAATAATGAGACACGTATTTTTTTTTT